TATGTTTCGGAAATTGAAAAATGTGGCCATCAATGGAAAATACCGCATTTTCGTGGAGTCTTTATGTGTGATACGTTGCCAACTTGTGGTCCTCGGCTGCGAGAATGTGCTGTTTTGAACTTGGATTCTCAATTGAATGCAGGCACTCATTGGGTAGCTTACATTAAAAACGGCAATGCTGTACAATATTTTGATAGTTTGGGTAATCTGAAACCCCCAATGGAATTGATACGATATTTTGGAGGGGGTACAACGATTACATATAACAATGATCGACATCAAAACTTTGATCAGAGTAATTGCGGACATTTGTGCCTATAATTTCTACTTCATAATGCCAAGACATAAATCTTTGCGGGATTTAACCGATGCTGAACTGAAAACTATATCGATTGACTTTTTGATTGAGAATGCCGAACCTTGGGAATTATTGGATGTCTGGCATAAACTACCAAAGGACTACCAACATCGATTCGCTTTGCAGATTTGTTTACCATGTTTCATCCATTATCGACATGAAGCTGCGTCATCATCATCATTACAAAATGCAATGTATTAATGGTCCTGTTAGCTAACAAAGAGAATGTTATTATTGTAGAAATAAATGATTTAAAATATTTTTGTTTCGATCATTATTTAAGGTGTGTACATCAGTCATGTCTATGACATTAACTCTAACGAGTCGTTCTTCGACACTTTTCATCGATTTCAATCCACCCATTCGATTGGATTCCGATTCAGAATACAGTTTAGCTTTGCTCAGTTTCCATTCGTACAACAGTACACCGAACATTGAAGAAGACACGAAATTCTATTATTACGAAAATGGTGACAGAACTAGACGTAAAAGTATCGATATTCCTGCTGGATCTCACGAAATTGGTGATATTGAAGCTTTAGTCAGCAAATATATTGTACTTAAAACGTACAAGAAAAATCTCAAACCGAACAATAATACGCTAAAGAGTGTGTAAGTGTAAGTGTGAGCTTGGCTCACATTTTGGGTTTTTCGTACACCCTTCTTAAGCCCAACTTGCATTACTCATCCGATCTACCTGTGGATATCATCAAAGTACGTATCATACACATAGATAGCAACATTACGTTTGGAGCCTTCTACAACGACACACCGTCTCATACGATATACGAATTTGCTGTTGATCCTGGTTACGCAATCGACTCATCAGACTCATTGATTTTCTAAACGAAGAAATAATAATTCGCTTGGAATTGAAGCGAAAGTATGGTAGTGGCTATCTATAAGAATAACTCATCACCAACCGTAACGTCTGTCTTCACCAAGACCTTCAAACATGATCAACTGTCAACGGAGAATAAATTATTCCTGGAATCTCTTGGCTATAATGTTGTCCAATCAAGTGTTCAACATTTTCCGAAAACCGCAAAACGATGAGTCCATACAAAAGGTAGAATGGCAGACCTACTATCCATATGTCAAATCTTTTCGCAATAATGACGTCACTGAAATCAACATTAATCAATCCGATGCCTATGATGCTTTGTACGATAGCCTGCTATTCATCAGCGGATAAGTTGAGAGGACCAAGGGCTATGGTCATGTGACCTTCGTGAACAATGCTGATGGTTTCATGTTCCAGTCTGCCACCTATGAGCAGAATGGTAAAGAATTGGAAGCAGTTCGTGAAGTTGGAATTGTTAGTACTGTCAGAGGCTTCCTAACCTACGCCTATGAAGATATCAAACACTTGGAAATCTCAGGATGGACATATCCCAAGAGCTTCGGCATCATTCAAAATACATCTTTAACGTTCAACATACTTATACCTATCAAGCATTTCTTGAATATTTTCAATGATTATCAATGTGTTTCCTATGGTAAACACACCATCCGATTACTACGAGCTGGAGATGATAGCAACTGTTTCAATAGAAGAGACTGCTGGTACAGTAGCATGAAAGACTGAAGTTAAGCTGGAAATTGAAAATATTGAACTGAAAGTTAAACGAATCTTCCCTCATGATCAAATCAAATTGTAAAGCTATCCAAGCCGACACTCCTATTTTCATACCGTTCAGAAAATGGGAACTCCATATGCTGCCTGCTCTCACACAAGGTGCAAAAAATGAAATATGGGCCGTCAAGACTTCTTCGTTTCTCGAAAGTCCTTGCTATGTGATTGTATGTTTCCAAAAAGATCGTGATTACACCAAAGTCAACAATGATCCAACGCAATTCAACCATATAAATATCACAAATATAACGTTGACTCTGAACGGTGAAAATTACCCCAAGGAAAATATGCATCTGAATTTTGGGAAAATGAATTTTTTGCAAGCCTATTTCAACTATGCATAATTTGGTCTGAGCTACAAACTAATCAAAATGACCCTCTCATCAATACCGCCGACTTTATACAAAAAACTCTCTTCGTCATCGATTGTTCCAGAAGGGACGAGAGCATCAAAAGTACCAGTGTTGATGTAAAACTTGAAATCGAATCATCTGAGGGATTTCCACAAAATACACGAGCCTATTGCATCATTGTGCATGACACTATCATCGAGCACCTCCCACTCAGCGAAATTATCAAGAAATGCAAATGAAGATATTCAAGGTTTCATCATTGAGCAACAATTCCATCCTGAGGAGATAGCCATTAGGATTGGAAATCAGTGTAGTAACTTTTTATTGCTGCCAAACAAACCATTTTCCTGTTTGAGTAAAGAAGATCGTCGTACCGCCTGTTACCTGGAGCGAAACGTTCATGGATTGAGGTATTTCTCCGGCTATGTGGAATATAATCAATTGGATGCCATCTTCATGGAAAATCTACGAAATGTCGATATCGTTTATGTGCGAGGACATCAAAAACGTGACTATCTAATTGCGAAATTTCACGAGTTGGATATACCTTCACACGCTGTGAATTTAGAGGAGTATGACAATACATCGTGGATGGTTCCCACATTCGGCAACGAAGGTGTCTCACCCTGTATGCACCACATTCACAGTCGAACGAAATATAATTGCAGCCTCCGAAACGCAGATATTCTATACACATGGCTTTATAATATATTACCAAAATGAAAATGTATAATAAATATTTAAAATGTTTTGTTCCTTTCGTTTATTCAACTCTTCACCACATCTGATGATGCACGAAATCCCTTCAACGCTTCTGACATGTTGGGGATCGCACGTTGAAACGTTATACCTTCCTAACCTTTCATGTTTGCTTAATTTCAAAAACCGGCAACGTCTCATAAGTCACATCGCCAATGCTTTAGCTTTACAACCGACAACACCGAACTGTTTACGCTACTGCTATCTTTGAAATTGATCATTTCGATGCTATCTCCATCTCTCTCACACTCATATGACTAACCAAACCATCGAAAATATATTATGGTCTTATGTTGTTAAATGATGTATTTCAGTGTCGATTATCGCATTTCCTGTTTACTACGGCTTTATCATTAATACGTGATAACAATGATAATATGCGAATAAACTGTTTGATATATTTTCACTGAGTTGAAATAAAACGAAAATGTATGTGTGTGTGCATGTCAAATCGAGGTCCATGCAGCCACACAGCCTTCACCATCCAATGAAACGTGAGTTTTTTCAATTCCAAATGATCCCCCCCAACTGATTTGTTGTAAGTTTTTTAATGTCACCACACCTCGTGTAAAATGAATTCGTCGTATTTACCAAGACGTCATGTTTTTTCTTTAACGCTGCACACTGTATACTTTGATATCAGCAACGTTTTTTTATTTAACGCTTACACACTCTGTATTTCATATCTTTTCCTTCTATTACGTTGGCATCCATGTTTTTTCCTTCAACGTCCGTGACCTTGTTTTTTCCTCACGCTGTACTGAATACCAGCCGTCATGTTTTTTCGCTTAACCGCCATGTTTTTTTCTTTAACGCTTTAACCCACCTCCAAATCAAGGACCCATACCGAAAACCTGCACCCCAACCAAACACCTGTCACTTGTCATTCTTTTCCACACCTACACCACCAACAAAGACCAACAACCCTCCACACACACGCAAGGGTTGCTCTTTGCACCGCCGCACCCTAATAAACCTCGCTGGGGTTGTTCTTGCTCTTCCTACCACTATCGACCCTCCATCCAACTGACCATCGCCATCCGACTACACCGGAAGTGAATGACGCAGAACGAACATAGTAATCCTGCTATCCCACTAAATCAACTTCAGAGAGATTCTATGACTAGCTGGAATTATATTTGTTTGGTCGTGATACTTAGACGGTTCACACCGTTCTGAAGAGACCATGCTCGAACGAAATTAATTTCTGCTTTTCATAGTGGGAAATAACTTGCGACGAATCTTCCAAGTCGAAGACGTTGCACAGGTGCCTGATGGTTTTACTTCAACTCTCTGTGCGGCATTTGCTGGGTTAGTTGTTGTTTTTCCGTGAACACTGTTTCCTGGGACATTTCATGATTAATATTCAAAATGGCACTCACCAAATTATGGATTTTATCAACCTAACATTCTCCATAAACTAATGCCACCTCCCAAACAGCACATCAAATCATTTGTTTGAAATTGATTAAGTTTAATATGTATCCTCAAATGTCAGATAAAATTGTCAAAGGTTTTCTCCTTACCTGCTTTTATTTTGCAGCTTTCTGTTAAAGGGGATGCATCCACCCAATCATCAGAGAATCGTGGACTCTATAAGGGGGTTGGTTGATAGCGATATGGATATAAAGAAGCACATGTAAATTATACACGTGGTCTATTCATTAGCACCGTCGGTTCACACCTTCGTATATATCACTGTCATGCGAACTAAAACTTCGGGTCCTTCCATCAAGGTGAGCATTTTTCGGTTAGTTCCTTCGAAGATATGTGGAGGACAGGCTTATACCAGGTGACGCAAATATGAGGAAAGTAACAAAGTAACAAAAAAAGACAACTCTTAAATTATTCACAAACAACATTGTTACAAAGAATTCAAGGTTGACAACTAGCATTTTCATTCAATTCTTTATTGGAAAATTATAGATATAATAAAATACTATACAATTTCATGCAAATGAATCAGTTGGTGTTACATAATTTTATATTTACTAAATATTAGTCTCCATTGTGGGCCATTCAATACTGTCATATTCCTTTGAGCTAGAAGTTAAAAAAGTCCTAACGATATTTTGCAAAGTGCATCTTGCATCTTTCTCGTCACCCAATTGGGACGTCAGGGCAGCTACTTTGTACTCCAGGATACTCAGCTTTGATTGAAGCTGCTGAATAGCTTCTGGGATGGCTTTGTTGAATTCAGATTTTGAACCCTCCATCACATTCACTGTAAGATGAGTAAATAAAACGTAATACAGTTTAAAAATATAGGTTTATTGAAGTATTCTATAAAAATATTCATGAGTTTTGATGAGATCTAATGAAACAACACACATAAATCCACTTTCAAAAATAATCAAGTTATCAAGCCACATGTGTCTCACAAATATAAATACCAATTTCAAAAATGTATGGTTTTCAGATTTTTACTTACATTGTCTAATAGTATTAAGAGATTTGAACACAAAGCTATCAAATCAGAACATTCTGAAGATTTGATTCACAATTGAAATATCGTGAATAACATGGTTGGAATTATCTTTCATTGCTTTTCTTTGATATAAGTTAGATAATTTTATACTGCTAATATTTTCTTCAGCTCTGAAATTGACTCAACCTTTCAGACTTATATATTTTCTCGGCTCACTTTTAAGAACTATTTATCTAATATTACTGGAGTTTTTCCTCAACACCAAACCGTTATTTTAACACCTCGACACGTGTTTCAATCACCAAGTGATCTTCAAAAGGGAGATGGAATTAATCATACCCACAAAGCTATACCTATTTATACAATAGATATAGATACCTGTTTCAGGTACCTGCGTCTTAAATTCATTTTTCAATTTGCCTTATCTACTTTTCTTAAATTAATTATACAATGTGTCCTTATGCAATAGTTAGGTAAATCTAATTATTAAAATATTATAACCTATATAAAATTCAATTTCACAATATTGCTCTATCTACTTGTCTTAAATTAGTTTTACAATGTATCCGTATGTAATGTCATAAATGAAATATTATTTTAACGAGCTATATAGTATACTATTAGGTATTGGTCCACCATCGTTATTCATAATATTGTGTTATTCATATTATTATGTTTCTACACTCTCATAGGCATCTAGATGCCTGTTGTTACTAACTTGTCTAACAAATCTTAATGAACTGAAGTCTATGGAATGGTTTTGTTGCAAAATTAAATGGGCAACTGCTGATTTTTCAGGTCTTCCATATTTTAAGTGTGTTGAAAAATCAGCAGTCGCCCATCATATTTTGCAACAAAACCATTCCATAGACTTCATTCATTGAGATTAGTTGAATAAGTTAATAGCAACAGGCATCTAGATGCCTATGAGAGTGTAGAAATAAGTAAACATAATAATATTATGAATAATGATGGTGGACCAATACCTATATAGCTTGTTGAAATAATATTTCATTTATGAGATTATATAAGGACACATTGTAAAATTGATTTAAGTAGATAAGGCAATTTGTGAAATAATTTTATATAGCTTATAATATTTCAATTATTAGATTCACCTTACTATTACATGAGGACACATTGTAAAATTTATGTAAGACTAGTAGATAAGGCAAATTATAAAGTTAATTTAAGACACTCAAGTCGCAAGAACCTGAAACAGGTATCTATAGTAATAGGAGGAATAGCTTTGTGAGTATGATTAGTTTGATCTTCCTCTTGAAGATGATCACTTGGTGATCGAAATACGTGTAGAGGTGTTAAAATAACGGTTTGGTGTAGGAAAAAATTTCCAGTAATATTCTTTACTACACCAAAGGTTCCAAACAGTGCATCACAAGAACTATTTATCTAAATGAATTTCGACAAATGCGCTCATCAGACACTCCCCCATTTAAGACCACCATATGTTTTATTTTATTTATAAGACACCATGAGCATTATAATACATTTATTAAATAACATATTGCCCTTATTTGAATTATATAATATAATTTTATCACAGGATTTGTTTTAGTTAGATATACCATGCAAGTAAGTCAGAAAATGTCTGAAGAGTGTTAATTCAAGAGAATATTATTTACAAACAAGTATTAATGTGTGAAAGAAGAATTAGTTATGGATCACAGCAGCTTATATTTTGTAGACCAATTTGTATTGCATTCGTTTTCAAATACATGTCTGATTCGTTTTATTTGAACGATGATCCCTATAACATAACACTTTTCAATCACAAATCATGTTTTTGAAAATGTTTTTTTATATCATAATTGTTAAAAATAATTTGATTCGTTAACAAAACATGTATGTTCAAATTATCAGTGTATAAAAGAAAGCAACTCTATCTTCAGATTCTTTCACTAAAAAATAAAACTCGAGAAAAACATGGAAAACTTTGTGTATTAAATATTAAAATGTTAGTTTCCAGGAATGAAATTATAGAAAGAATAGTAAGATTTAACCGTAATGACGAAAAAAAAAAATGAAATACACTGACCACCGTTCAGATCTGAATGCACTCTGTTTTAAAATTATAGACAATGTATTTGAATGTTTTCTTGGGAAACTATGTTCCCAAATTACAAAATGAAGAATGGAGAATCTATACACGCAGTAGGCAAGATACAAAACAACGGTATATGTAGGTAGGTCCAAATTAAGTGGATCTATTCTACCCTCCACTGCAACCCGCGGGGATTTATTGTGACTCAACTTTAGCATAAGGTTACTTTCTGATAACGTCATCTTGTAGGTGAAACGTGCATCTAGAAGAGTTTTCTGGTGTGGTAGTAGTGTTTCTTTCAGATATTTTTCCAAATATTATTATTCAATAAGGCTCTAAAATAAGGGATAAATTCATTTTCTACGTGAATATGAATGCAAATGAAAAATCCTGCAACAGGTCAATTTTTATGTATGAAAATACACTTTCTCAATAAAATTATTCGACTGCCCCTTCAACCCCCTATCCTGGTAAAAAGGGTTTTCAAATATCTATTTAGCAATATAGCATTTTTTGATTCTTGGAACTGGATACTCAAGAAAAAAGTCAAAAAACTGTCATGATTAACAAGTCTATTAGTTATGTTGTCAAAAAAGTACAACGGTACAGTCAAAAGTACAAAAGTAAAGTAAAATTTGTCACAAAAAGATCAGACATATTTGAAATATACGTTCATTCGCTAGACGTTAATTTGTAGTTATTAATTGTTTTTTCAGGAATTTCTAAACAATAATGTAAATTGTTTCCAAATGAGTGTAGGTGAGAATTATTATTTATGGTCTTCCCAAAACTGGGAGATCAAAATCGAATGGTGGACATATCGTTAATTTTTGAGAAAAACCCTACAAGAAAAGTAGCTGGTGACAGTCGAAGTAGGTGGAGGCAGTCGAAGATTTTCCACTAGCTTCTAGGCTACAGAAGGCACTCTCAAATGACCACCATAAGACTATTGGCATCCTGACGAGGGAAAATGGCGACAAAGCCGCCAACCTCCAGGAGAGTGCTGAGATTCTTATGGAAACTCACTTCCCAGGTTCTGTCTTTCCTGGAACGGCGAACTGGACGGATGTACCAATAACACCCTCACAATATGACTGGCAATATGCTAGTACAGTAATTGATGAGGACAAAAT